TTGTAATCAAATTAAAACTAGTCTATCATAAAAAATAAAAGGAAGAACAGTTTTATTATGTATTTCTTGCAAAGGAATAAACAAAACAAAGAGATTAAAGAATCCGATTGATCTTTCCTTATATATTTTTTAATGAATAGTAAGTGAATATAAATTTAAAGAATAATTATTTCCAGATTTTCTTTTTTATTGTCTTACTGTCTATTTTGAATTATAATATAAAATACTATCATTTAAATGAAATAAACTAGATATAGTTATTACATTTTCACAATCTGTCAAGCGATGTGACAACTTTTGACAAATCGTAAAATGAAAGAGATATCAAAAATGTACGGTGTGCACTAGCAATAAAACATTTCATTTCATTCCAGGTATCGAAATTGTTACTAACGTAAGTCGATGATTTCCTATAGATCTTTTATCAGATAATGATTTATGTCATTTATGCTTATCTAGATGTTTATCTAATAAAATCTATATGCAAAACTCATCCATTATTATATTTAGTGTGATGGATTTATTTAGAGTTATTTGCTTGCTACAAACTTTTTCATGTCATATATCGGAGCCCGGAGAAAACTTTTGGCTCGTAGTGGTTCCTTCATCTATAAAATTAAGATTATTTTTACTAACAGTAAATAAAATTTTAAGTGTATTTTTCTATTAATAAAGAAACATTTTACGTACTTCAATTGTAAATAAATAGATAAAGTGGATTCACTTTAGCCATATTTTATTTTATCTCTGGATCCGATACTAGCTCTCAAAGACCCTGCTCATATCAAATTATTAAATTATGTTTTGAGTATAGTCTTAATTTTAATTATATGGTCAAAAATCTATTATTTAAGTTAGCATAGTTAAAAAGATACATTTTTAACCACACAACTAAAATTAGTTGTAAATTTACATAGTTTAACTTAATTTAACTAATTTTAAACTGTGTGTAACTAATTTATATTTAATGTTGTATCATTATAACTAGTTTTTATAGCTTTTGTACCAAAAAAGTCGCACCAATCAATCATTAAACCATATTATAGTTATTTCTAATTAAATGGATTTTAGCTATATTAAACAAGTTATACGCTAAAATTTAAATTAATATACTTAAAATATAGATTTTTAAGAATACAACTAAAAGTACAGTCGCATTTGAAATATAGTTTTATCTAGATTTATTGCGAAAAAATAAACAGACGTTTTAACTTAAGCATAAAGAGGAACGAAATCTCTTTGTTCCGTTGATTTAGAGAAGTAAACTGTCAGCTTCTTTTCTTATATTTTACTTTTACTCTCGACTTAATCTAGGTAATCTTCTGAAAGAACGACTGGTTGATTCTGATTCACTTCGAAATCCTAGAAATCATTTGCACAAGAACAATACTGCATTTTCTAGTTTTGAGTATCTTGGAATTCCATTTAGTTTATATCATTCTTTTCTTTGCTCTGATCCATATTATTTTCTTCTTCTTATAATGCAATATTTAAAAATATGTTTACAGCCACATCAGATTTAATTCCAATTATTTATTTTATTTATATGAAATCATATTTAATGATTAAAACCATACATTAAATAGTAATTTATTTAAAATTAATACAATAATATTAGATTTCTTAGATTTATATCTAAAATCCAATTTTAGATCCTTGATAAGATTAATATAAATTTATGAAAATAAAGTCAAAATAAATTTTAAATCGTGATAACAAAATTCATTTTATTCTTCAAAATCTTCATTTTATTAATTAAAATAGATGTTTTCAAGACTTTAATAATCTTTTCAATTGTAAATAATATACTTTTGTCTATAGACATAAACATTCACTATTGATTATAGGCCTAAGTCAATAAGAAATATATTTTAAATACATCACAGGAACTGTTTAGCTACGTGAAGATAAACTTTGAATGTTAACAATGTAAACTTGTTTGAATTCTTATCATACAAATTTATTATGTTAAATTATACTTTAATTCTAATCTGTTTTATCATTGTATGGATCATCACTGTACTGTTATCACAATCATCATTTGCTGACAAGTAAATTAACCTTTTGTATGCACTTCGTCTCTTTATCTGAAATCACTAAATAATTCTGTTATACGCTTTCTATACAATCATCTAATTAATNATTTTTTTTGCTGGTATTATAAGGTTTAAAATTAAAATATTAATTATATAATATCTTTTATACTTATAATTACAGTTTTATAATTTTTAAATATCTACAAAGTCTATGTAAATATAGTATACGCTATATCTAGTTTACATAGATTCTATTACACATAGTAGCACATACACTTTATATATAGGCTAACTATTAAAGAATATAATATCGAAATGATACGAAATGCTAAAAATTTACTGAAACGGAACCAAATCTATTTGAGATATATGATAATATTTTAAAATTTTCAAATAATTCTTGTCTGTGACCATTTAAACATTTAAAAAGTTTTTTAATAATAAAAAAATGCCCATTTCAAATTCGATATATTTCCGAAAAAGTTCTATCGTAGTTGGAATTCATAACATTCCAAATTTCTAAAATCTATAATGTATGGAATTTCAATTATCTAGAGTGATATTCACTAATATATTGAAAAAAAGGAATCATTTAAAATCAAATTTTATGATGAATAGGCCTATATATTTTTTAAACAATCAATAAAAAAGCATTTTTTTTTATGAATCGCTTTTCTTTTCATTCCTACAATTGAGTATCCCAGTAAAAACCTTCTTACCAATCAATACATCGGATGTTTTTACAATGAAATATTATTTTTTGAATAGTAGTGATGTCTATCATATTCTCTCTGATCAAAAGGCGAGATTGCTTCTCTTTTGAAAGCTAACAAACTTAGGTATTCAATTTTCGCTGCAAAAGTCGAAAATATCCGCATCAGTATTGTCAAATTGAGATACAGATTCAATAATCATCGTCTATCTGAGAATAACTGCTAGAGGGAAATGCAACCCAAAGCAATACCTTTGAGATTGCTGACACATAATATTTTCTTTATACTTTAATTCTAATCTGTTTTATCATTGTATGGATCATCACTGTACTGTTATCACAATCATCATTTGCTGACAAGTAAATTAACCTTTTGTATGCACTTCGTCTCTTTATCTGAAATCACTAAATAATTCTGTTATACGCTTTCTATACAATCATCTAATTAATTATTAAAATTTTTTTATTGATTATCAAATATTATTAGGATAATGGACCATTCTTATAATTTGATAATATAAGAGTATGTTGTTTTCGTTCATCGTGTAGAATATAGTAAATATTTTATTTCATTACTTTGGAAAGTTATTGAATAAGAGAAACAAAAAATATTAATTATGAAGAAGCATCTAAATATGGGAAAGATAGATTTTAACAGAAAATTTTCTAAAATTTCTTAATTTATTAAGTGAAACTTGTTATAATCGTTATCGTCGTCGATCAAAATTAAGCTTGTTAATTTAATAAGATTACTTAAATCTTATCAGTTAGATATACTCATTTACAGTTATGAATCTTGTCAGAGAATAAGTTCATTACTATCCAATTTGAGAGGTTGATCACTAATGCTTAGTATTTCCAAACATTGACAACATTGGAAGCTTACTATATGACCCGTGAGATCTAATGAATACAGTAGTATGGTAAGATGTGGGAAGCAAAGTTTAACACAGGATATATAATGCCTCTCATGGGTAACCTCATATCCCATAAACAGGACGTAAGAGATGCAGTCTTTGCCTGTGGTTGCTATCCACAAAATTTACGCATCTCTAGCTGCTTAGAAATATTCCATCAGCGTATCTAATATCCTCTCTTTTATGAAAAAGCAAAGGTTTCTGTAGTCTTATGCGATTTAAAGAAGTGATATATTCTAGATTCTATTATGATCTTCTTGGAATTCTTAACATGAACTTTTGATTTCAATATAATCTAAATTCGAGTAAGGTCGACAGATTTTGGCTGATTTTATGTAAAAATTCTGTTAACTTTTGACCTATTAATGCAAATATTTGCTGATATAATTCATAAATGTTTCTCATTTTAGTTTCCAATTCAAAATTCTATAGTAAAATATGGCATTGATATGCATAAATGGTCATTTTTGGTAAATTATCGCCATATTGTTTCTCTATTGCTATGTTCAAGATCTTCTATAGTAATCTAATGTCGTGATATGCATAGATGGTCACAGCTTGCAGCGTAACATCATTAATCACAATTTCTGTGAAGGAAAGAGAAAACATATCTCTGACAAATGACTATTGATCCTTAGGAAAGAGTTTCTACCAGCCATAAAGGTCGTACCTCGTCAGAAAATGGACCTTCGCTGAGGAATCTATAGTTTCTTGAAAGATGAACGTCTTCAGAATAAATTTGATTTGATAACATTTATTTTTCGTTCCTATTAAATAAAACATTTTTTGGTGCGAGCGTATGTTCAGAAAAAAAATTTTGACTTTAAGATTTATTTTATTGATATTCATAAAATTCGACATAAATTTAACTATATAATGCATATTTTTAAAAGATTGATAATCATATCTATCCACTTAAAATGACTTATTATAAAAGAACTCCTAATAACTTCTTTAATTATTTTAATTAAATTTTATAGTAAGACGAGAGCAAATATATTTTACAAAGCTATCATTTGGCATATTTTTTNCGATACTATTAAATTATCGATAATTATTTTTAACTAATATAAATTTAAAATTATTATACTTTAAAAATTAAGGCACGAACTAGTTAAAATATCCGAAATTCTCTATGTATATTATTAACACCAATATATAATTACAGTTCCGATAGTTCTAAGTCGAGAATTCTTCCGGAATACACCTCAAACAGAGTATATCCTGCATGATGTACATCCAGAAATTCTCATCACGATAGAAGGAGCATCTGTTAAAGTTCGCACGCTGCTTATTCTTCCTCCCCTGCCATCCCTAATATTATTGAGGGTGAAAGACAGTAACCTACCAGTCGTAGTTTTATATAGCTTTCTATTAGCGATCTCTCATCACGGGGAACAGGTGGACTGAACCGGGAAAGTCCATTTATTGAATGGTACCTTGGTTGCTTTCGCAGATGGTGAATTGACGTTTTTATCTCTAAGTTGGTAGATAAAAACCAAATGTTAGATTAAAGTTGGTAGTATCTTCCATTTGCCGTTTTTATTGTAAAGATTTACCTTATCTCTCTAAATGTTTAAAGTGGAAGGAATGATACGGTTGTCTACAGTTTTATTTAATCGAAACAGCTATTGCTTCTATTCTGAATACACGATTATACTAAAATCTATTTAGAGAAAGAAACATGTGTACAATAAAAGAAGATGTAAACACGGCATACACATATAAACTGTAATTATATTTAATATTCATTTTATTAATTAAGAGTGATTTGTCTCTTAAATGTTACTGTTTTATTAATTTTATATATAAATTAATTTTTTATGATATTTAGATCAATTAAAATAATATAATTATACTCTTAGAATTTACCATTTTCTTATTTTTTCGATTGAATTCGGGTAATTCTAGAATTCGTTTTAACATTGCCCAATGAATAATATTACTAATCCAATCAGATGTTTGAAAGTGAAAATTTTATTTGATTAACGTCTAACAATTCCCTTTAGACAATGAAAAAGTTAAGACGACAGATAACAATTACAGAATGGCGAGATTTACAACAATTGGCAGACAGTGAATCTTCTCTACGTACGGACCATCGACTCCTTGTGTCAAGTGGAAGGGGGATACAAAACGACTGCAAATCTTTAGAAGTGGTCATAAAAAGTTCTCTTTCCTGTTCAACAACGATAGTCATCAGAATTTAACTTCTTTTATTATGAACTTATATAAAAGAGGGCTTTAATTTTATTAAATGTTGTAAATCAAGAACACTAAGGGATGCATTTTCACTTTTTACTGTATACGTTATCATTAAGTGATTAAAAATCTTATATAATAGCACTTCAGTTCAAAATAGTAAAATATTATTAATTCAGTTGACATAATAAATGTTGGAAGAGACATTTCTCTCATTTTCCCTTCTTTCGGCTCACGTGTATTAATTAAGATTCGTTTTTCTAATGAATTAATGAAGGTGTGTCTACTTCGTCCACGGAAAACAATATCAATTTATATTATTTCCACTAAGTGAACAAATCTCTCTTCCATCTCTGCCAGAAGTAAAGAACTTTAAGATAATGAAGTCTTTTTCTGGACGTAATTTATCATGTTCTTTTGTCAATTAATGAATAGTCAATAAAGCGCTCGTTAGAAACAGTCTGTGAGAGAAAAATTTCAATTTACAATGCTCTAAGTTTGTCATGTTGATGTTTTCTAACAATTTCTTCATATTTTAATTTTTTGAAAGATTAATGCCTGCTTTATGAATTGATGACTAGCACTTCAATTTTTCCTTCATTAGTTTATAATTTTTAATAAATATCTTGTAATTAATGTGTTAGCAAATTAAAAGATTTCTCTGTCAAGTATCTTTTGAAAAAACTCTATTTTTCATTTATAATATTTGGCATATTGAAAAATATGCTCTACAATAAGAAATTAAACATAATTCTAAGGTTTATTTAGAGAATTTTAAACATATTTCAGAATTTTCTATTAAGTAAAAGATTATGAAAAACTTCTCATATCAAGAAAATGTTATAGAAGTAATTGCGAATTGAAACACTGACATTTTCTGCATTTTTAAATCAAAGCTGAAGATTGAAGACATTTCGAATCGTATTCGAAATTCTGGACTAAATTCTCTCTATCCTTAGACTTTCTCCGACCCTTGACTTTTCGTCCGATCTGCACGTTGTCATGGAAACTGCATCTCAGTTGGCTAGAAGCCTGGAGGATGGAACTGGTCAAGAAGCCAATGGAATTGACAAGAAAGACCAGAGTTAGGATGGCAGACAAGTGGACAGTTGAGTTTGTTGCGGGTCAATAGATCGGCCACTTGAAAAAAGTCGATGGGAACTTTTAGGAGTACGATACAAAAAGCTATTTGTTGGACGGCTGGTGCGCTAACGTCAGACACATCAGTGGACAGGAAATAGGACAGGGAATCTTTCCAAGTCCGAGAAATCGAACGCAACCTGCTGGAATAAATACATTTATACCAGACCTCCTGAAGGCTTTCTGCAATAACGTGTTTGTGGTACTCGCACAGAATCCAATATTTCATTTTGAATGTCTTTTTTTATTATCAAATGCTACAAAATGTTCTCTATTCTATAGAAAATAGCCAATTAAAAATAAATATTTTAAAAATATATTATTTAATTTCCAACTCTCGAAGATATTAAATCGAAAAATTTTAAATAAATTCTTAATTAACTAATTTACAATTTTGATTTTTAGTAAAAAAAATAAATTAAAAATATCAGTAAACTGCATAAATAAGATCTAAGATACTGTCAGTATGATGGATAGATAAGTTGCTTACGTGTAGTTTCTTTCTTCCACTCCTTTGAAGAAAGAAATTCTTTCAATTAGTGATCCTTTCATATTTAACGTACCTCGTTAGATTCAGAATATAAGGTAATTTTCTTGACAGGAGATTGATATATTATTTATTGATCTAGTCGTAGATTTGCAGTTAAATAGTAACAAAAGACAAAATGATAAAGTGATTTATGCTTTGTAACTAGAGGATAATAGTGCCAATTTGCTTATTTTCTTATTTTATTCATCTCTTATATTTTTAATGCTACACTAAAAATATNTTCGCATTTACTAATTAATAAAAACACTTAAAATTCTCTTAAAAGCATCGAAATCCAAATATTTAGATCACATTTTGTTTTTACAAATAAACAAATTTTGTATTAAATAATACAAAAAAATGCATTATATATTTTAGAAAAATAAATTTTAATGTGACCTAAAATATATATGCTTTTGTAAATGTATTTTCGAAACATAATAGTAATGGAACGACGTATTATGGGAGATTATAGATGAATAATGTTCAATGTCATTTCGTAATATAGCTAAGAATTTTGCAATGTCCCTGAGAAGAGCACATTTTCTTCTTAGTAGTAGTCTTGCAAGTGCAATTTTGTCTTGTACGTGTCATTATTGACCCTAGATACTATACCTCCGCCCGTATCAGATTTCCTCAATATCCTTCTACTTTTCGGGATCTAGATCCACTTTCCTTCCATTAGAGTAGGAAGAAATCCATCTCTAGAGTACGATCCTGCAATCTATTTTTTTGTTTTTGCTTTCTTTTTCAAAGTAATTTCCCTAGTTATATTATTTTATCTTATTAATTTGAGCTTACTTNTGTATCGAATACTATTTTTTATTTTTTCTATTTATTTCTTTTTCGATTTATCGAATAGTTGTAGGTAACTTTTTCGAGATTTCCTTGGTTTGAATAGAATTTGGAGTTTCTCGGTCGTGAACTATATAAACATTCACTCAGTTATCCAGAAATATTATCTTCTTATATAAAGTATTCTCCTTTTTTTTTTAATTAATATTTGTAAACCCATATGCTATCGTGAACATTTTATTAAATATTGCATTTTAAAGTTTTATTTATTCAAATAACAAATAACAACTTAATGTTTATATGTTTAAAAAATTGATTAATAAAATCATTCGAAGGACTCTGATAAGAGGTAGACACGTCACTCGGTCATTCATTTTATTTGGTTTTGATCACTAATATTAATAAGAAACAAATATTGCATAGAGTTTTTGGAGTTTAACCCTTGTCATTTAGAAATGATTAAAACATTAAATTAAAAAAATAATACAAAAAATGCAACTATAACATATTTATTTTGTACTCGTTCAGTTCCTCCTTAGTCTATTGTGTTATGTCACTCTACATACGGAATTTGTAAAATAAATAAACTACATTACGAAAAATAATGTTTTATTAACCCCACCATTTTAAAGATTTTTTTATAAGGCTTGACAAGAATTCATTTTCTCTAAAAGTAAATAATTGATCCAAAAAGTTGTTTTTAAAAACCCTAGAGCCATACTCTGTCTTACTCTGAACATTTTAATTAATACAAAAACTTTTAAAATGCGTCAAAAATTTAATATGATTTTATCCAACCAACAACCTTCCATATAAGCTATTCAATTTTTAACATTTATTCATTCAAAAACCACTTTCTCCTTATCTTTTAGCGTTTTCGTATTTATTAAAATCTGAGCATTGTAATATAATGCATTCTTATTATAATATTTTTGTTTCCCCCACTTAATAAAAGCTCTTCAAAACTACGCGAAGAGATTTGTACTAAATCGGAGTAAAAACTTGAAATTCAAAAATGAAAATAATTAAAATGTATAGTTTTACAAATTTTCAAAGTCTACTAAAATGTAATTTAAATAGATGTTATTAAATGTTTTTATATTTAACTAATATCTTTTCAGGAAATTTTTAAAGATCTCTTTATAACAATTATATCCATTTTAAAAATACTTAGATAAGAAATGACTTTTTAAAGGAAATTTTCAGAAAGAATCTCACTTTTAGATATGTTTTCACACTTCATACTCATTACATATATAATAAATTTTAATTACAGTATAAAGAAAGAGATTTGAGCGATTAGAATCGAATTTTTGAAACAAAAATTACAGTCAAATATCTTTCTCATAATAACTATTTTATATAATAAAGCATAATAACCAAACATATATAAATGTTTTACTACCCAATTCTAATATAACTTCGATATATTTAGACCTTAATAATTAAGTTATCACTTCCACAAAATGAATAAATATTGAAAGGAGTTTACTTTGTCATATATTCTTTGTTATTTTGTTAATATTTTTTGCACTAAAACTGCAAGTCTGTGAATACGTCTGTGTGTATGTATGTCCTGAGAATTTTCAAATTCTTTGAAAATATCTACTGCTTTGCTTTATCAAAATTTAGATTATCATTCGTCATGAGAATAGAAAATTTCAGGAATATGAAATCATGATAAATTGCAAATTCTAGAAAAATTTATTACTTTTTTTTATTACTTTTTACAATATTTTATTATATTATTTTGCTTTTTATTTCTAAATAATATATAACATTTTAAAATTTTTGTTTAAATAAATAAATTTTATATTTATCGTAATTATCATCGATAATTAAATCTAATTTAGCTTATAATTTATATCTGTAATGTGGCAATCCTCTTTTATTGTAATTGAAAATTATAATAAAAATAAAACAATTCAAATGCACTATATTTAATTTTAGGCCAACATTTTTTTAAATTTAATTCATTTATTTTTTAATTTAATAAACAAATATAGTATATTTTTCATTAGAGAATATATCCTGTATAGTAAAGGTGGAAGAGATAAGATTTATAATAAATATAAAGAAAAACTTTCATGTAATGAAAATGCTTATTTTATCAGTTGATAAAAAAATAACTGGTATTAGATAAAGGGATTTAATAAAAGAATGAAAATATTTTAGAATTTACTTCTTTCTTTCGTTTCTTTCCTTGTTCATAATTAAATATTGCAGTATATAATAGAGAATGTATATGTATAAGATTTTTAATCAATGTTGTTTATTATAAGAAATCATAATTTTAATTAAACAATGTGATTGTAAACAAAGAAACTAATACAGTAGATTTTAAGTATTAAATAAATAAAATAACTTTGTCTTATTTTAATATCCTTATTTCAAAATTTCTTAATTATATAACATTATCTGATTGGAAATAAAAATAAAATAGATGAAATCACATGTAAAAGAACGTTTTTATGATCTAAAAGTAAGTTATTCTATACCAAAATTAAAAATTTAACAAAAAAGAAATATAATACAATTTACAATGATCTAAGCAATGTAATTAATATATGCTCCAAGTTAAATCTGTCAGTAACATGTATTACATACATTATATTATGACAATTGTTCACTACATAATAATTTACTGAAACTCATATATTCATCAAAATTAAATTTTTATATAATCTTGATCATTATGTGTACGAATATTATAAATAAAATTACTTACTTTTTTAAAGATATTATTATTATTATAAAATTACTGAATGGTAAATCAATATAAATAAGAATAGAAAAATGTAGTCTTCAATAATTCATAGGTTTAGATTATTTT